AAAAATTATGGTTAGGAGAATTATTTTTATAATTATTACTATTATAATGTTAGTAATAATAACCTTATAAATAAAGTCCTATCAAATATGAAAAAATTTTACTATAGATTATAATAATTTCAAATATTAATATAGTGAAATATCAAAATATGAATGAGATAAATGAAATAAATTTAATATTTTTATGTAGAAAAAGCAACTGCAATTATAGTAAGTATAACTATTTTCTTAACATTTGCTTACAATTTATATTGCAATAATAAATAAAAAATAAATAAACAAACAAATAATAATATTAAATAATGAATAATCATAATGCATTATTGAAGCAGCTATAATTTGTATGGTTAAATTAATTATAATTTTATAGTTGTCCCCGAAATTTGCTCTAAATTATAGTTAAATTATTATTATTCCAACTCTATTTTTCTCTCGGTGTGCATGTTACGAGTAAACGCATCTTTAAACAAATGTATCAAGCAAAATACATAGCATATATGACGTGAGATGTAGAAAAAATAAACTTTCTGCTGCATGATTTGCGTGTGTACTGATATTAGAATTTAATATTCTTATTAATAATTCGTTATAAGTGAGTATAATATATAAAAGTATATAAATCTATAACATTGATAAAATACTATTATATTTTTTATTTTCTACCAATAAAAAATTATATTCAATATAATAAACATACTTATATACATTATTGCAAATAATTTAATTAATCAACAAACTTTTAAAAATCTTGAAATATTTAATCTCAGGTCATATACTACTGCTTTATATAGCATGCATAAAGCCAATTTGTCAATCAAAAATAGACTACAAAAGATATACTACATAGATAGACTAAAAGATTATGGTAAAATCGGCTTTTTTAAAAATAAAAATAAATATTGAAATAAATATTAATAATTATTAAAGCGTATTTTCTGTGTAAAACAAAATTGTGTGGAAAATATTTTCGTTTTTAATTTTTATGCTTACAATCACTTTTATTAAAAATTTTCTAAATATGTTGCTTTCTTGAGCCGAGTTATACAATATTTAATCTTGGCTAAATATGAGAGAAAGGAAGGAATGGGTAAATAAAAAACACCCTAGCACATATCTACTAATTCAATATTTTACTATTTCTTTTTGTTTTCTTTAAATGCTTATTAAATTTAAAAAATGTGGACTACGTATTAAACTATAAAATATACAATCTATTACGAACTAAAACTATTTCACAAAACAAAATTTTTATATTTCGATAAAATCTATCTCAGATCGAATTAAAATATTAAATTTTAAATTTTGAAAAAAACTAATTTCTGTAAAACGCGGCAATGTATTCAACACGAAATGAGCTCTGCTCTGCGAGTTCCATGCATGCAAACTGTGCGAGTATTTCTTCAAGCACAGTCGCACAACATATATAGATAGATATATATACTCCAAACATAAAAATTTTGCTAGTGTCCGGAAATTTTTCGACGGCAGTGTATATATATCCTAATAATGAGTGGAATATGCTCTTAAAGTTTGGCTAACTATTTCTAAAACACCCTGTATATGCTTCTTCTTTAATATAGGTATTAAATTATAAGCTTTTATTTAATAAAATTAAATTTTAGAACTATAGAAAAGTTTATCTTTTTAATTCATTTAGCGATGAAGAAGAGATATTTGACAGAAAGCTCTTAGACATAAACAAGGCTTTTTCAAACATACAACAGGAATTGCACTTAATGCGTAAGCCACTTGGTACCAGAGATAATCCCGCAAGAACGTGTAGAGATTTATTTTACGGACATCCCGATTTTAAGAATGGTAAAATTACTTTTTCTTATTCTATAGTTTTCAATTACATGTCACGTTAAATTTTTATAAGTAAACTCTAATATCTCGCAAACAAAATGATATCAAGAACTCTTTTTTTGAAAGAAAGTTCTTATTGCTGACTTTAAATATTCTCAAAAGATATTATAAATTTTATTAAGTTCTATCTATATCTCGATAATTTCATTTAAAAATATGTAAAACTCTTTCTAAGGTATGAATCTTATCTTATTATTTTTGTATATATAGCTCAGTTCTTTTATTGATAGTTTTTTATAAAAGATATAACATAAAAAATTTATTATATTTACCAAAAGTTAAAAGATTTTATTACGCTTTGTCAAGGTTGGTATTGGATCGATCCAAATCTGGGTATGCCCGACGACGCTATTAGCGTATTTTGCAACATCACGAACATGGGTGAGACCTGCATCTTTCCAGATATTCACAGTAGTCATATGCCGAACATTCCGTGGAGGAAAGAAGACAATAAAATCGATTGGTACTCGCGTTTACGCGGAGGATTCAGAGTAAGATCAATGAAATTTTCATTCTTCTCAATTACGATTAATATTATTCCTACAGTTCTTTCTGCAGTTAACGTTAAGTTATTATTATTATTTTTGACAGTATCAATTAAATATGTCTGAGACTCTTATTGTAATATTATCGAAAGATCGCTTGTATAAACAATAATCAATTAATGAATAAAATTATAATTCTATTCTATATAGCTGGAGGAAATTGATCATGTTTTCTAGGTAAGTTACGAGTCAATCGGAGTGGTGCAGATGAACTTTCTGCGTCTGCTTAGTCCAGAAGCTTACCAGAACTTCACGTATACGTGCACGAACAGCGTCGCTTGGTACGACAGCGAGAATCGCAGTTACAATCTCTCGCTGCGATTACTCGGCGACAACGAGGACGAATTCTCATACAACGGTTTCAGACCCTATCTCATCGCGGACGAATGCAAGAGCCGGAGTAGTAAGGGGGAGACCGTGTTCTTAATTCGCACCAGCAAGCTGCAGCAGCTGCCGCTGATCGATTTTTATCCGGTCGATTACGGATCGCCACAACAAGCTTTTGGCTTCAAAGTCGGCCCGGTTTGCTTCAAATAGGCCAATGAATGAATTGATCACTCTTTCCTATCTTCCTTCTCTCTCTCGCTCTCGTAATTATATTATATTATTGTACAATTTTTACGTGATTACGTACAGAAGAAGTGCAATTTAATGCAAAGTTCAATTTACGCATAATTCAGAAGATTACCGTGTGTTTATAGTATTTTATTATGTATAGGACTTTATTATGTAACGTTTTAACATTTTCTGAACAGTATAATACAGACTGACGTTTTTATAGATATGATAATTTATATGAATAATACGCTTAATATGTGTATAAATAAAACAGCGTGTTAATTATTAATTGTCTTTTAATTTGTTTTGAATTTATGTTATATATTATTTCCTATTATGTTATATATTATATATTTTTATTATTTAGTATATGTTATCGTTATGTTACGTACGTATTCGGATATTTAATTTGTAATGTATAACCTTTTTATATATATTATTATATCTTTAAATAATTTCTTATCTAAACCAATTAATTCATCTGGTATTGTGATATGAACTTATTTGTTTTATAAAATAATTATCCATATATGTTTCTTTTCTTTGTAAAACTATTGTTTAATTCAAGAAAAATGATAATAATAAAAAAACAAAAAATAATTAAAGGAATAATTTTTACATTGTTTTTTTTTACAAAGAAACAATTAAATTTGAAGAAATAAAAAAAAATTGCTCATATATAATCATATATTGAGTGATTAAAAATATACATATATAATTATACATATAAACAATTTTTCTCATTTCTTCAAACTTGATTTTTGTAAAAAAAAACAATGTAAAAAGTATTCATTTAATTATTTTTTATGTTTTTTTTATTAT